ACAACCGTCCCAAGGGATGCCACCCGCCTGCCCAACCTGGATCTGAGACCGGCCGGTACCCGTCGGATCCTGCAAAGAAACATGTGCAGAACAATGGCTCTGTGGAGGAGTCGTGGCTGACAAGGTAGTCACTTCTCCGCCCTTCGCTGTCCAAGTCATGGACGTGCTGAGACCGAGAGTTGAGAGAGGGGTTGAGTCAAGGATCACTGCTTCAGCAAGGCGCCTCTGCCAGGTAGACGTCCACAAAGTCAACCAAATCCGGCCGCTGCCAGAGCGGGGGATCCTCCCAGGTCACCTGACTTCCAAGCTGAGGGCGAAAGGTTGGGAATTAAGGAGACGGGCTTGTCGACTGACCATCGATTTATGGCGTGCAGCATACCAACGACGCAAGCCTGCTCCAAGCTTGGAGCTCCGGGCATGGGATTAGGGCAGTCAGGATTGAGGTGTGCATCACTGCTGTGTGAAGAAGCACTGATCTCTGGGGGCGAGCATCGAGTTCTGATTCGGGTCTGGGCAAGGCGTCGGAGCTCACAAGCACTGATGACGGGTTTCCTGCCTCACGGCTAGTACAAGGCGCAGAGCCTGCAGTGTTACACTTTTATTCCCATGCTGGCGGGGCGCGTTCCCTCCCAGCTCATAGCTGTCCAGATCCAGGTCCGTAAAGGAGACATTCCCTCAGTGGAGCTCCGTGCAAAGGCCCGGAGAACATGGAAAACGTCGGCTTACAATTGCTTAGGATAAGTAGCTAGACATGTCTGTGGTAGAGCAGAATCTGAGACAAGATCCTCCATGAAGACTGCTGACACGCAAGCAGCTGCTGAGCGAGTGGCGAACGACTGCTATCGAGTCGTTGAAAGCGCTACCGACGGGTGTGGTCTGCCTGAGCAATGCGTCAGCAGGGGAAGCTGAGTATTCCGGGCAACGGCATGGCCTGTATTGTGAAACATTGCTTGCAGACAGAGGTGCTCCACCAGGCTTGACTGCGTATAGACCAACACGTGAGTCTGGCCTTCAACCGAGAAATCCTAAGCGCAGCAGCAATGAAGGCAAGGGGCTCGGAAATTTTCGTGTACTCCTTCCTTGAAGATTTCGCACGGGTCGTAGCCGCCAGACGACAAATACAAGCACGGCGCCATGGAGGCAACCACTACAATCACCCGTGCAAATTGGATCGTACGAAGATTCAGCTTTGACAACGGGGAGAAAGGGTGTTCTTACACGCATGCAAGGAAAGTCGGCGCTTCCTTGCCCAATGTCTATCTTGTTTTCCTGCTGCTTCCGAGCCACAGGGTCCAGGTGTAATTCCGTAAGGCTCACGTCCACGGTGCCATTGGGGATAGGGAGCCAGTCCTCAACTGGGCTCTGGTAGGCATTTCTGAAAGTTGTGGATCTCCCCGCGTACAGGCCCCAACTAGTCCCCAACTGATGAGTTTTTAGGGGCGCCGCAGAGTTTAGAAACTTCGGAAGTTTGCCAAATCAACCTGTCAGAGAGCTTGCACAAGCCAGTAAAGGCAACCGACCACCTGGATGGCGCTGCAGTAAGACCCCTGATCATCATCACCATGATCACAGCAACAAGTTCAAGCCCAGCAGTCCTTGGTGCCGTTTGAATGCAGTCCAGCAGATGCGGGGTCCATGTAGCTGAAATAAAGCCGGTAGTAGACCACCTCCAGAAACCAGGAAGTAACTCCCCCTCCCGCAAATCGAAAATCTTACGACCCTCTGAGTAGGTCTCACAAGTCTGTGACTGAGCCTTCATGCTTGGACTGCTGAGGCTCAGGGCTTTCGCAGATTGTACTGAGCTGGTGCTCGCCAAATTTGTCAATTACGTCCTGGCTAGTCTGTTGGTGGTCATTTGATGTCATTTGGCGCCTGCTGCGGGTCAGGCGGTCGCTGCCAGAACAAAGTTCCGCCGGCTTCGTCCTGCTGGATATCGGAAGCATTCGGAAGCGGCCGACACTTGGGTGGAACCTAGATGTTCTTTGCGGGTAGCTGCGAGTTGCATCTCTCTGTCTGACCAAGTCCTTACTGCGAACCCTGCATCCATCTTTCGGGCTCAATCCCCCCATACCCTGCAATGCACCCTGAAGCGAACAGGCACTCTTCCGCCGATCTGCCGGCTCCCAGCCTCATCCAGGTCTAAGTCCAAGAAATCCTTGGAGTACAGGATTCCGGTCTCCATGGCTTTTGCGTTGTGGCTTAGCATGGGGCTAGAGCTAAAGGCCACATTCGGCCTTCCTTGCATGCCATTTTATGCTCACAAATACATCCGCATCATTCCGAGATCTTCACCCTGAAAGATAACATGGAACGTGACAGCCCTCCTCTGACTCCAAGAATTGTTGAGATTCAACTCCGGACACGCTTGCGATGGTGTCGCTGATGGGCACGGCCACCTGAAAGTTCAGATGCGTGGGCGGCTAACGGCGGCTTCTGGATGCACATGCAATGATCGTTGTCACTGGCAAGCGGGGCCATGATCTCAGATTCTGAAGCTTGTGCCTTGAACACCTGCTTGCGTGCACGAGGATCTACAACTGAAGAACGACCAGTTGACCCCCTTAAAGCTCTAGCAGAAGCACGCGAGCCATCACGGGCTGAGGGTGCGACCGGCGTGGTCTGCTCGAACAGGACAGAACGCGTGAACAGGGTCACAAAGTTGAATTGCCCCTGAGCGTATGAAGGCTGTTGTCCAGGTCGTCAGGGCAAGAGTTTGGAAATGGCGGCTAGGACGAGCACGCAACTGATTGCTTAGGGTTACCGTGGGGCTTGGATTTGTGGCCGTGTAGTCACACTGTGAGATGGGATCTGTCTGGGACCGTTCGCTGTTGAGTCTGGTGGCCTTTACACCGCAAAGGCGCTAAGTATTTGAAGCTGACCATCCAATTCAGATCAAAAATGATGACCCCAAGCAAGAGGATCCGTTACACTTGCACGCGTCCCACTGATAGATGCCCAGAATGCAGCTGAAGCTGAGGGATCCTAGCCCACTGTCCACAGTTACAGAGTCTCGGGCCTACAAAACCCTAAGCCTAGATTCTAGATGCGCTCAACAACTGCCAGGCTACCCTTGTGGTGTCAGGCGCCATCTGCAGCTCATTCGTCCCGACAAACTCATCTCCCACCTGCTCGCGACATGCACTGTCAGTTCTTCAAGACTGAAGAAACAAGACACCTGGATGACATGCCGGATATCTGTTGGTGGGTGGAGTGTTTTAAGGGTACTTTCCTTGGCTGTTGGAGGATTGGGGAAGGCGGAAAATGTGGACAGGATCCTAAGACGCTCCGCGCGAGAGTTCCAATTTGGTGTTAGCATGTCAAAATCCAAGCAGCAGCGTGTTG